TGATTCAGAGCCTGTTGGTGGAGTACTTTAATTTTCTTGGTGTTGGGTGTTGGTTTTAGGCCTCAGAGAAAGTGTTGACTATTTTTTGAAGATCTTCTGAGTGGGCACACAGGGCACAGTTGTCTGCATATTGGAGTTCAATGACTGATTTAGTGATAGTCTTTGTCTTGGATCAGAGGCAACTGAAATTGAAGAACTTGCCGTCCATTCTGCATTGGATGTCAAGTCTGCAGGGGAACTTGTCAGCGATGAGAAGGAGGATGACAGCAAGGAAGATGGAGAAAAGGACTGGAGTGATGACATAGCCTTGTTTAACTCCTTTCTTGACTAGAAGGGTTCTGTTTTGGATCCATTGTTGACAACCGTCACAGACATGTTGTCATGGAGGAGTCAAAGGACAGCAACAAATTTTGGTGCGCATCCAAATTTAAGGAGAATTCTTCACAGAGCCTTGAATGCTTTTGTGAGGTCAATGAAGGTGATGTACAGTTGTCGATGTTGTTCGTGGCACTTCCTGAAGTTGGCGGGCAGTGAAGATCATGTCGGTGGTACCTCGAGATGGTCTGAAAGCACATTGCAATTCTGAAAGGATCTGGATCTGAGGGAGGTTAGCCTTTGGGTGCTGGGACCATAAAGGGCTTGTGATGCCATTGAAGAATCTGCACATGTCATGGGTGTCGGCGAGTTGTTGGATCTCCTTCTCTTTGTTTCCCCACCACTTGTTCTCCTTCTCTTTCTTCTCCCACCATTTCATGGATTTGCCTTTGAACCTCAGCTTTGAGTTGATGGTTGATGTATTACTTCCCCTTGGAATTGATGTCATTCTGCCAAGCACAGAAGGCCTTGTGCTTATGGTCGATCAGGTCTTGGGTTTCCTGATCGTTCTTGTCAAAGCAGTCTTGGTGCTTCCTGGTTGAGAAGCCCAGTGTTCCCTCACATGCAGCATGGATAGCCAATTTGAGCACTTTCCAGTGCACTTTGGAGCTTTCCATCTCAGTTTTGATATTTATCAGTTTCTCAGGGAGGCACTGCTGAAAAAGGTCACGTTTAGTTGGGTCCTTAAGACTCTCAACCTTGATCTTCCATCTAGATGATTTCTTTTGCATACACAAATTATTACCAAACCTCCAGTGTTACAAAGATCCATATATCCCTATTAGCTATCTATGGCAGGGGAAAAGCAAAGTGTAAAGCCTTTCTAAGGGCAAGAAAAGCTATCAGGCAAGCTAATAGCTGTTGGTCCACAAAACTGCCAGTTTTCCCTTTTAGAATTCTGGAGTCTCCTCTCTTTCACTTCAGCCAGCTGACTATCAGAACAAGATACAAATTGATATCTAGCAGACACATGGGCAAAGGATCCATACCTGCGCACATCTCCTCCTTTTGTGCTGACTTGAGGGGGGAGGGGGCTTAGTCATCTCCATGGTGCTGTCTCCTATCCTCCAGACCTTGTAGAGTCCCTTCTGAACAGTCTGGGGTTTGTCTGAGGGAGCTAGGGGAGACTCGGTGGGCTGGGAAAGGAATAGGCAGGCTGAGGCAGGATTGTAAGGGGGTACACAGTTCCCACCACCTTTGGAAGATAACTAGAAAATATGATACATCCCCAGGAGCCCACTAGACAAGTCTCCTGGGGGCAGCCATGGCTGGGGTAATTTTTGGTCGTGTGGTTCCATTTGACTGCAATTTTAGTTTGCCAAGGTGTTGGGGGCCATAGCTGGTATAGAGGCACTGGTTCTTCATGCAGACAGCCCAGGCTACCCAGGTTGAGGCATCCCATGACTTACTCTGTGGGGGCGATCCCCCTTCCCCCCACCCCCACGATAGGACAGTGTAAAAGGGCAGGAAATCCTTGTGAGAGAATGCTCCCAGAGACTGCCTCTTCTTGGGCCTATCCTGCTGGGTTTTCTGTGGGAGGGGATGAACTGGGTCAGAGTAATATCAGAGACTCCATAAAGCCATGCAGATTATATGCTAAGTTGATTGAAGTTCTGAATTCTGCTACCTTCTTTGCTGTTGCTCCATTGGTGGGGAAGAAGAGAACTTATCTTATTATACATTATATCCTCAAGGCAATAGATAGCTGAGTGGAAAGAAGATTGAAATGGTAGGAAATTATTACTATCCAAACATTTTTACTATCCAAACAAGTTTTGTCTTTATTTAAGGCCATATCCCACTTCCTGCCATCTATCAAACTCCCATGGGCTTAATGCATCAATTGCAGGATATGGCTTTGCCTACTGAACAGATAGCACATTTATATTTTTAAATAAGTGATTAGTAATGATAAACGTTATCAGTCACTTTTTAATACTGTAGTTCAGAAATGCCTTCTGAGGGCTAGATTGTGGATTTATCACTGGGGCTGAGTAAGGGGCAACACACAGTACTATTGCTCTAGCAGCAGACCAGGGTCTAGATGGTAACTCAGAGAGTAACAATTTAGTCTCTGTTTTCCACATTGGTTGAAGGGTGAAGTAATCTGTGCCAACCCTATACCTGATGCTGATTATTCTGCCCTCCACATCAGACCAGCTGTGCTGGCTGGCACACTGATGGTCAGAGTCAAAAATCCACCCACTCCCTGTGGATGCATAAGACAAGCCATAATCTTGCCCTAAGTGTCTAATAAAAGTCATAGTCTATTTATAAAGGTTTAAATAACTGAGTTCAAATTAGATTATTCAGCTTTTCTTTTGATTCAAAGAAATTTAACATTTTGTTTTACAAAAAGGTTCTATAAGATATTCTGACAGGACATTTATGAAATCTTAGTTCACTCTGTTGTCAAGTCCTGTTCTCTCTTATACACATACGTGTTAAGTAATAAATGTTTTTTTCTCTTATATAGGTAAGTGAGGTAGGCACCAAGTACTGAATAGTAACTGTAGATTACACTCTGATTGATCATTCTCTTCCTCTGCCTCCCACTGAAACTAAACAGTAGATGAATGGAGCAATTGTAATAAACTGGTTGCTAATGAGTTTTACATGTTTTTGTAAATTATAGACCAGAAGAATCCGTGTCAGAAGATGACAAAAGGAGGTAGGATTTGTACTGGGAATGGCTTTAATTTGAATAGCTCAGACAGAATTCTGCCATCAAATGAGGATCACCTGGAAAAAAACAAAGGGATGGGATATGGGGGAAGAAATCTCCATGAGGATCCCTCTGTAAGAGTTCCCCCCTTGCATTTTGTTGTGGAAGGGGTTTTGCCTACTCACAAAATAGGCCACTGAGCCCAGCCCCCAAACCTTGCAGCTCTGCCAGTGGAAAAAAGACTATTGGTGCAGAAGACCTCTGCCTTCACATCAACTCTGGCTCCTGGCTTTATTAGAGTCAGGTCACTTGGGACCCTGGGCTTGGGTGTGGGTGCTCTGCAGAAAGATAATACATAATATAATTATTATGAGCTGTATTATCATTTCTCAGGAATCTCTCCTGGGCTGGAAGGGAGAAGAAAGATGTATGTTCTACCTCACCCATTCTTCCCCTTGCCCACCTCATGTTTTCCCCATCCTCCCAGTCAGATCTCAGACCCCTGGGCTCACAGAAGGAGGGGGATGGACTGTGGAGGCATCTGGCACCCATAAGCCTTCTGCATGTAGACAGATCCCCCATGCATGGTTGTGTGGAGAGGGATCCAGGCCCTTTTTTACTAAATGGGGTGGGGGGGACACATGACCTCCTTTTTTGCGTGCATCATGCAAGTGAGTTGCTTAAATTGTCTCAATAGCGTACATTACTAGCAGATTAAATCTCCCATCAGGCAAACACTAGACAACTTTGGGGGTAAGAAAGAAGAGTGTCAGAGGGTATTTGTTGCCATGAAAAGGTTGGGTTTTGATGGAAAGTATGAAGAACTTGGCTGAGGACCCATTAGCTCTGTGCTCCTTTCCTAGCATAGGTTCCTTTTTAAAATCAATGGCCAGCCTAAATTTATTTTTGTCAAACAAGGGCTCAGTTTTAATAAAAACATTACATTTAAAATTGCAGCCTCTTAATATGCATTGGAAACAAGGGATTCTTTTATAAAAGTAGTTACAAAGCATCCTCTGTTTGTCCGTCTATGGCCTTTCTAATGTGGCTGTTTTATGTAGACATTCTATGGGAAAGCATTAACACTAAGCCATGATTTCTCTTCAAATAAGGAACTATGGTGGTGTATACGTTGGTCTGCCATCAGAGGCTGCTACCATGGCTCCCAGTCAGACAAAGACTGAACCTAAAGGTACTTGTAGATTGTTTATTGTATTTCCTCTGCTTTCCCCATTCATTTTAATCTTTTACAATATATATTATTTCAGTAAGACTGACCAGCATAGGGAGCAATTTAATTGCATGGAATTATTTACAGTAGCTATGGTCATTTTTCCTATTTGTTTAAATTTCCATCTGCCTACTGTAGTAATCATAAAGCAACAATCTGCTTCTGACCATGATATATATGCAGTATGTTGTCTTTCATGAGTAACTTTAATATAATTTTTAAGTGTTTTTAGTGGTATTCAGTGTAAACACCTCACAGGATTAAGAGGCTGTGATATATATTTATGGAGTTTTAGTGCTCTTTATAGTTCTGAATGTATTTACTTAAATTATGCTTAATTTCAACAGTAGCAAGGCAGTGATTGCTTGATTTCAGATTTAGTTCTGTTCTGTCTATCTTATGCTGAACCCATCACAATTTGATATTTTTTCTTGAGGCAGAGAGAACATGCATTAGCTTTAAAGATTCTTGCTTGATAACAAGAGAATGATATGACATATAAATATATCTTATATTTTTATACTTAATAAAACAGTGTCTGTGTTCTGACACATGCGGCTCTGATCCCTGATTGGGGAGGTCTAGATGCTACTACTATACAAGCAGATAATAATACATTCAGTTGATATAGAAAATGATTAACCTGTTGCATTGTATTACATTCCATGGTGTTAAAATAAATAATATGCTATATTTTAACTGTGTATGCCTTTCTTTTTTCCCTTTAAGATTAGAGGAAAATACACCAAGATTCAATCATCAGGAGGTATAGTATGATTTAACAAATTTTATATGTGTAGAATTTTTAAGTAAAAAGAAAAGAATTCAATAACCACATTTCTTATGTTGCTACCATGTGTTTTCAGACGTACTTTACAGTACTGACAACCCCATTATAAATGTATTGGCTGAAATAAGGTCTGATCTTGTAGTGTTACCAAGAGCCTCTGGTGAGAAGCTGGGTGCCCTCAATTCCCATTTACTTTAATGAGAGTAAAGGTGCTCAGCACTTGGTAGAATCAGGCCAGTAGACTTGAAGAAGGTTTTAATGGAAGCAGGTCATTTGCGATTACAGTACTTATTTTCAGATTTAGCAGAAATACAAGGGCCAGGGCATGGTTTGGCACCAAATATATAAAACAAGTGAGGTATTAGACTATTTCCATGGAGCTGTCTTAATAATATATAAGATATCTATGGCTTGATCCTCCGAGATACTGGGTAGAAATGGTAAAAAAAAAATGAAAAAAAAAATGTAGGGTTTTCCCACAGAAAATTTCAGTGAAGAGGGAAAAAAATCTTTTTCATTTAAATTTTCCATGGGAAATTTAGATGTTTCAGTGGGAATTCAAAGTTTCAAACATTTAATCTGAAAACTAAAATATTTTGGTTTTCAAGTGATGGGTTTCTCAAAATAATAAAATTTCCATAGAAAGCAGACACTTCAGTTTAATCAAACCTCCAATTTTTCTACCAAAAACAGTTTAAACAGAATAGTTTTAAGCAGTGTTAAGCACTTTGGCTGCAATCCAGCAAAGCACTTAAGGACATGGTTAGTTAAAGCATGTGAATGGTCCCTTTGGCTTCATCGGGACTACTCATATACTTAAAAGTATATTTCTTGGAGTTTGATGCTTTTCCCATTCAACCCAATGGAAAAACTTCCATTGACTTGAATGGTGCAGGATCAAGCCCTTGCTTGCTGAATCAGTGCCTCATGTTGGGAAGACTTACACATGTGTAACTTTACACATGTAAAGCATCCCATTGAATTTTACAGGACTGCTCACATACACCTATGTTTGCAGTATCTGAGCGCTGGAGCCTCTACTGCATTTCTAACAAAGACATAGTTAATGTTTAACAGATTCTGTTTTAAAAGTGCTAATGTCTTATATTATTGTTATATCAGTCCATCTAAAACTATTTTTTTCCTTTGAATCAGTCCTTTGCATAGACCACTCATCTAAACTTAAGGGACAGCTGCCTTTCCGCTGAAGATTTTTATAAGTCCAGCCAGCAAGAAAGTTCAGAGCACCAAAAATCTTAACTGGCGCAAGGTACAACTACGGGTAAAGTTTAATGGTACAGTAGGGAATCAATTGGACTATGATGGTTGCATTATGGAATCTTCTGCTGTCCTCCAGTGAAAAATGAATTAATAAACTTATGGTGGATATTTCTGCACAAGAGCTAATTTGACAATCTGCAGCATATTTCTCTTTGGCCATGTTGCAGACTTAATCAACTACACTACATATATTTTCTCCAACAATTTTTGATAGTTTTGATAGTTTTTATATAAGAAAATCATTACTACTTGTTCCTATGGTAGGTTACTGAAAAATAATTATTAATTTACTTCAGAGTAATATATTTGACATGTTTGCATCTTTTTAGTACTGCTGCAGATTTTAAGGATATTTTTGCAGTGAGTAGGATCAGCTGGGCCTAAGATAATCAGATTCTTATAGATGTCACTTTTATACAGTGAACCAACTATTGACATTTAATTTTCACCTTTTAAAAATATATTATTGCTCAAGGAAATTATTTACATAGGAATAATGTACTTCATTGCAATATTTTTCAATGGAATGCTAATTTTTGCCTGTCATTATTTCTTTCAGCTTTATTTCTTTACGAAGCATTAAAGGAAAAATATAACTACTGCCTAACCACATTATTGGGATATGTCTTCCGTTTTGTGTAATATCATAATGATATTGTCTCATACAAAGATGATAGTGATGATGTTGCCAGAGATAGCGGGACTAAACCTCAAATCTGCACATTCCTAAACTCTAGAGAGGAGGTTTGATTAGTCTTCAAGTTTTGTACCTCAAGTTTGTCTCTGAGCATTTCAGTATGTATGGTAAATTGCAGTAGGGTAAATGTTCTGTTACTTCTGTGTACTGTAGTGTTAAATGATGGATGGGTCATTAAAAACCCATTAACTTCATAACTACTGTAAGTTTCCCACAAAACATCAAACTAATTGTACATTTCCACATGGCTGAATGTTTTTAAATGATTAAAGCATTTTGCGTAATTCTTTAGTCAAGTTCTTTTTCTAACAGAACATAATATGGCATACATCCAAAAAGCCAACCCATTAATATGTTTCAATAAAGACTGCTTTTAAAAGCAAAAAACAAAACAGGAACATTTGGACATCCAGAAGTAAGCTATTAAGAGCTATACCATATACTCAGTCATCATGTGCAAATTCCCACTGATTTAACCAAAACATATGAAGATCAGTACATGACCATGCATTCTGAATCACAACAATTTACAGCACTTTGCTTTAAAGTATACAGTAATTTGTTGTGAGACAGGCCTGCAAAAAAGGAATCTTTGAAAGGATTCCATGCTTCCACCCCCACCTTCCCACCCCAAAGGCAAAAAAAGTCACTCATTTGAGCTCTTTGCTCTATGGTAAATAGTCAGTAGGTTTTGGGGGGGTTAAAAATAGAATTGTAATAATAAATGTCTGGAAAAGTAAATTACATCTGCTTACTTACAAGCTGAAGAAAGTTTCCTGCTGAGAACCCTAATAACACTTGTTAAGAAACTTTCTGATCTGCTCATTACTGGTTTAATATATGGATATAGCTGTTACATCACCTGTTACATAAGGATTCATATTATTTAAGCAGCTTGGGCAATACCAGATTTGTTCAGATGGCAGAGAACAATTAGGCCCATTTCTGACCTAGATCATGAATGCCTTTCCTGAAGGAGGAAATCTGCCAATCACCCTGAAGCACACAGTAGTTCAGCCAGTGCTCAAGAAGCCATCACTGGATGCCAATAACTTCATTAACTACTAGCCCATCTCCATCCTGTTTCTGGGAAGAATCATCAAGAGAATGGAGGCAACTAAACTCCATCAGCACTTGTCTTATACCAGCTCCTAGATCACACACATGACTCAGAAAACAAGTGACAGGGATAAACTCCTCTTGGGAGAGTGATATTTACAAAGAATTCATATTGTTCACATGTGTTTCTGTTGCTATATGTTAGCATTTCCTGTTTTCATATGTTGTTTAATTTTGGGTTTTTTCAGATCCTCTCAGGAGGCATTCAAGTCAGCTCCTTACAGGATCAGCCCCTTGGGGATCCAGCCTCTGAATATTGAGGGATTTTTTTTGTTTCTTAATGTTTTTGTTCCTCTTCATCTTTTTTTCTTCACAGCTTATTGACCAACTGCCAAATGCTTCAGTATGGTTGCTCAGAACTTCAGCTGGAGTAATTCAAAGGAGCTGAATCAATTTATACCAGTTGAGGATATGGGTGTATGTCCTTTAATTTGAATTGCAAGTTTCTTCTTTCACTTTTCCAAAGACCTGTACATCTAGGAACTGTGCTATTATCAAAAGGAACACTCTATAGAGACATAACACTGAGGTTCTTAATGTTTGTAACAGTGACTTAAAGATCTAATGGTACTTTCTGCAAGAATAGATGTGTTAATCACATTCTCCTGGCTAAATCCCAATTTAGGGAAGTGCATTCTGCCCCATCAACATTCCTCCTGCAGTTTCAATTGAATAAAATATTTCACTTTGCTATCTCTCCTAAACTGTTGTATATGTTGCTGTATGTAGCTAAAGAGCTGCTGTTTATTTTTTTTTAAATTACTTCTATTATTAACTATCTCTTAGAGCACTGTAAAATTTACATGGCACTTTATATTCATATAGACAACATATTCCCAGCACTGAAGTTTTCCATCTAAGGATGATTTAAAGAAACAAACTTTAGAAGTTAACTTTAGAAGAACAAAATGTAAAGAGACTCTTATTTGCAGTGAAAAACATTTTGAACAATTTGTAGATACAGTGCAATGTTCTCTGGTCAAAAACATACACCCATAATTACTCCAGTCAGTCCACAATTTAGGAGTTCTCCCAGATTCCTTGCTAACACAGAGGGTATGTTTACACTTCAGCTAGAGGTGTAATTCCCAGTTTGAGTAAATGTACATGCACTAGCTTTGATGGAGCTAGCATACTAAAAATAGTGGTTCAGGTGGCAGGTTGGGCAAATACAATCCCAGCCAAGACTCTAGGTAAGTACTTGGGTGGCTAGTCCATGCTGCTGTCCACAGCTATGCTGCTATTTTTAGCATGCTAGCTTGATGAAAGCCAGTGCATGTACATTTACCAGAACTGGGAATTACATCTCCAGTGTTAGTGTAGACAAACTCTCCAATCTCATAAAGTGGTGTCCCTGAGTAATGCATCCTACCGTCTCCAGCTGCCTAGGACACTACATCCCATCCTTGTGGACAATGTCCTAGGCAGCTGGAGACGGTAGGACGCATTACTCATGAGCACTGCTATATGAGCAGCAGCCATTCATCAGCTCATGAGCACATCAACCCATTTTTCTGCTCACTATATAAGCTTATGTTAGGATGAATAAAAATGGTATGGAGGATAACACAGAATATTAATGATATATCCTCATCTGGAACACTACTGCACTGCTGGACTCCCTATCTAAAAAGGATAATGCAGAATTAGAGGGGGCTTGGAAAAGGATGACAAGAATGATTAAGGGCCTGGGGAAAAACTCTTTAAAAAGAGAGATCAAAGAGATTGGGATTGTTTAATTTAGAAAGAAGAAGAAAAAGAGGGGAGTTTTGGGAGAGCCCAAAAACCTTACACCTGAGCTTATTTGTGTCAGTTAATGGAAAGTTTCCCAAAATTGGGGGAGGGGAAAATCCCATTATACTGAGTTTAGTCTAAATGGTTTGGTGCAGTTTGGCTTGTTTTTTGTTAATTGACACCAACAATTTCTTCTTTCTTTCAGCTAAAAAAAATCAGACTTTCTGCTTCAAACAGATTATGACGTTAGGTCCAATCTTGAGCAAGAGATGATATGTCAGGTGCACCTCCCCAGGAATAGCACCAGGAAGACTGTGCCTCAAAGATATACCTCTAAGTCACAAATCCTACTCTGCTTTCTCTTTGCTACAGGAGTGGAGATAATAATTGCTGCTGGCCTATTATACCAGAAGAAAATCAGGTTGTTGTGTACTTACAGCTGTCAAGGGTGATTCCCCACTCTGGCACTGTGAGTGCAGAAGGTGGGGGCCCGCAAGTATTCTAAAAATTAATACTGGTCACTCCAGGCTTGTATTAAACTCCCGAGGTTACAGCTTTTCTCTGACCTTGGATGGGCAGATGCTGCCACCACCCAAGTGCAAAACCCCTTTGAGAACCCAGGAAGGCGCATTTGGGAATTCCTTCCTGTGGGGTACCCTCAAGCCCTTTCACCTCCTCTCCGAGGAAGAGCTGAGGAAGAAAAACAAAGGAAATCAGCTGTTGCCACCAGCTAATTAAACAACATGTGCACAAATCTCTTAGGACACAAAAATCCAATCCTGTTTTTTAAAAAAGGTAAATTTTATTAAAAACAAAAAGAAAGAAAATACACCTGGAAACTCAGGCTATTGCTAGATTTAAAAAAAAAAAACATTTACAAGGATTAAGCATCAAGAATAACTTTCTTGAGGTCCAGTTTACAGGTTACAAGCAAAACAAAAGCATTTGGGGTTAGCACAGAGGAGTCCACAAGCCATAAAGAAATAAAAAAGAGATAAACCTAATCGTGCCTTCCTAGACATATCTGGGGTTTCAAATGAGTAGTTTCTAGGTATGATCTGATGATTTTTCATACCTAGCCCAAAGCTTCTTACAGCATTGCTGCTCTGTTCCCTCTCTCCAGAGAATAACAGACAGATAGACAAAGGGGAAGTTTTTCTCAATTTTAAAAAGTTCTAGCCTTCTCATTGGCTCTTTTGGTCAGGTGCCCACTCACTTCCTTTTACTTATGCATCGCAGTGATACTTTTTAACCCTTTAAAGGTAAAGCAAGTAGAGAACAGCTACTAAGAGGGATTTTATAGCTAACTGGCTGGCTAAGTGTCCATAACAGGGAGCTACCCCCCGCCCCCCTTCATTTATCACAACAGCTATACACCCAGATCCAATATGTGGGGAGTCCATGTGGGGGTGTACTCCCTACCTTGTGTGGTCTGTTATCTGAGTCACAATCTAGCCCATAATGTCTATTATTTAAACACCTCGTGCCCATCCAGTCCAACAGGGTTCTCAGTGTATAATATTATATGATTATATGCATTTGGTTTAGTTTATACTGGACTGATGATGTCCCCTTTGGTGTTTTCACGTTCAGCTGGGAGCAAACCGATTGCATATTGGAAAATCCTGGATGATGTAAAAAACATATTGCCTAGTAATGATGTTCTCCTTATTAAGCAGGCTGGACTGCATTTCCATCAGGCATGGTTTTTCCATTGTCATGCACCTGTGTGATCATTTACACTTTTGTAAAGTTAGTGCAGAGTGGATGTAAAATGCTACCATTCAGATTTTTTAAGCAGCTTTTCACAGGTGTAAATAAATGACCAATCTATACAAGACAGTGGACAATCAGGCCTGTTATTTGTAACAGTCAGCTTTGACTGGGCAGCTGAATCCACTTCTAGCCATCTGTAATAAAAATACAGTAGCACATACCTATGTATACTGAATTTTTTATTAATATTTTATTTTTGTGGTGACATGTTACCACCAATACCAATTAACTATTGTACGATAAGTAGCATCTTGAAAGATCACACAGTTTTGTAGCGTCCTGCTGAATTCTTTGAAGCTTAGATCTAAATCTCTGTGGTCAAATAGGCACCCGTGGGTGAAATTCACCCTTCTGGAGATGGGTAGTGTGAGGTCTATACCCCAGTTAAGCCCCACTTAGATTGTAAACTCTTTGGGGCAGGGGCCTTCTTTTTGTTCTGTGTTTGTACTGCACCTAGCACAGTAGGGTCCTAGTACATGACTGGGGCTCCTGGGTGCTGCGGTAATACAAACAATAAATAATAACGTATCGATTTAAAATAGATCTCAAATAGGACTTTCTTGGGGCATAGGCCTAGTGTGGGATCTCTACCTAGAGGTGAATTTCACCCCAATGAG